ACTCTTTACCTTGGCAGAGGATGGGTCCGCTACGGTCAAGAGGTCCCTGGCACGCTACCTTTCAGCATCTCCTCAGGGCGGCTGCAACTCAGCAGAAGTCGTGAGATAATCCGTTCAACAGAACAAACTTTCTCAGAAGTTGTAGGGCATTCGCCCGGAGGAAGTCACAGCGAGGCGCCGTGACTACAGCAGAGATGGATGACTCCATCAGACTGGAAAACTGAGTCCGAAGTTTCACTCAGCAGTGGAAAAACTCCACCGGATTCCAGGAAGGCTTCAGACGACTCCAGAACTCTACCGAACTGCTAGAATTCTCCCAGAACTAACTTGAATAGTTCCAGGAAATGTCAACTTTTAAAGAGTTCTGCTTCTGGTCACTTTTAGTACTTCCTGATTGGTTGAAGCAACTAACAGGGAGTGGTTCTAGTGATGTCAGAGGGTCATTACAAGTCAAGAAAACAGCAGAAATGTTTTAGGAACAGACAGAGAAATGTTTTGGCGAAGTGAGAAACACTGCAGGTGCCAGTTTTCTTATTTACTGTCTGAGAGTTTTAAAAACAATACAGCCCGTTCTAACAACTTGTTTTTGACTGCCTCCGACTTTTGACTGACATCACTACTTCTCATTTCAGACAGAAGATCAAAATGCATAATTACTTTGTAAATAGACATTTAACTTGATTTCTAATTTAAATGAGGATTAAAAAATCATTAATACTGTTTCACAGTTGATTTAAAATGAGTGGTTCACTTCAACATTTAAAAATGGTATGAACTAAACACACTTTTGATTTATCAAGATATTGTAAAATAGTGATGATAATATAAAAGAAGAGTGTTCTTTCAATTTATTACTTCAGGATACAATTAGACAGTCTCTGGATGAGCTAATTTGTAGTTCTGGATTCAAATCAAGGAAATAACTGTTCCTGTCCCATGAAGGTCTTCAGAGGCAGGTTTTGGTCGGAGGCCTAGTCCACTACAACAGCCAGTGCTTAATGTCGTTTAAGCAGCTGGCAACAGAGTTTAAACTGACTGAGGAACTGGGAGTGATCGGCAGATAGATTTGTAGATCATTTGCATACAGATAACAGATTATGGCGTGCAATGACGGGTCCTAATGGTAGCATGTAAAGTGAGAAGAGAACAGGCCCCAGACTGGATCCCTGCGGTATGCCAGAGGTCAAAGAGACTGAAGAAGAGGACAGATCACCTATCATAACAGAGAAAGTTCTGTCTGTTAAATAGGACTTAAACCACTCGAGCACAACTCCCTGAAGGCCAACCTGCTGAGCCAAACGAGTGATTAGGACCTGATGGTCTACAGTATCAAAAGCTGCTGAGAGGTCCAACATCACCAGCAGAACAGTTTTTTTGGCATCAAGGGACAAAAGAATATCATTCTGTACTTTGAGTAGTGCAGATTCAGTGCTATGATGGGGTCTGAAGCCAGATTGAAATTTTTCAAACAAGTTGTTGTGTTCTAAAAAAAGATTGCAACTGAATGAAAACAACCTTTTCCAGAACTTTGGATAAAAATGACAAGCGTGAAATTGGCCTAAAATTAGAAAAAGCTGTAGGATCTAAACCCGTTTTTTTAAGAAGAGGCCTGTCCACAGCATGTTTGTAAACAGACGGGACATAACCTGAACTTAGACAGCTATTAATAAATGTCAGAAGACAAGGACCAATAACATCCAAGGACTGCTTGAACATCTTAGAGGGAATGATGTCCAGGGTACAGTTTGTAGGTTTCATCTGCTGAACCACCTTAACGAGGTGAGGTAGTGAGACCAGGTGGAACTGATCAAACACAGCAGAGGTTATTGAGGGAGCACATAACTGAACAGCATTATAGGTACTGACAATGTTCTGCTTGATAGAGTCTATTTTGTTCACAAAGTAATCAAGAAAACCATCACAGGTAGACTGTGTAGCAGTTTTCAGAACATTGATGGAGGGATTAATGACAGACTGAATGGTATTAAATAAAACCCTTGGCCGGTTACAGCTGGTAGAAATTAAATTAGAAAGATATTGTGATTTGGCCTGCTGAACAGCTTTTTGATATTCATGAAGACAGTCTCTCAGTATGTCCTGGGACACATGAAGTCTGTCTTTCTTCCATCTGCGTTCTGCTTTCCTACAGCGTTGTCTAAAGGTCCGAGTTGTACCATTAAGCCAGGGATCTGGTTTGATTTTTGTAGAAGTCTGTCTTAAAGGAGCGATGGAGTCCAAGATCTTTGTAGAAGTGCACTGAAAGGAGGTGATAAATTATTCTGGATGTAGAGATGAGTCCAGACTTTCAGCAGAGTATAAGTTAGTGCTTCTAAACGCAGCAGCAAACTGACCTGGAGTGGAGGAAGTGATGAAATGGCAGAGACGTGCTGGAAGCATAGTTTTTAACGGGGGAGGAATTGAAAATTCAAATATAATAGGAAAGTGGTCTGAAATACAAGTGTCCAAAATTTCTATAACAGATAAACGAAGGCCGTGAGAGATGATTAAGTCCAAAATATGACCATGACTGTGTGTGGACCCTGACACAGATTGTGACAGGTTAAAAGAATCCAGAAGGCTTTGAAAGTCAGCAGCGAGTTGGTTACAGGGACAGCAAACAAGAACGTTAAAATCACCACATAAAAGCAAACTGTCAAATTTTGGCAACAGTTCAGCTAACAGTTCTGAGAACTCATTAATGAAATCCTTATTATATTTTGGAGGGCAATATAAAATACCACACAGCAGAGGATGTTCAGATTCCATCACAAACAGTTGAAGTTCAAAGCTGCTGTAGTTTTGAGGAGGCAGTGGGCGGCAGGTGAGTTTATCACTGAACACAGCAGCGAGACCGCCCCCACGGCCAGACACACGCGGTGCACTCAGGTGGGAGTAGCCAGGTGGGAGGAGCTCAGAAAAGGCACTGTTGTCCCTTGGTTTCAGCCAGGTCTCAGTCATCAGAAATAAATCCAAACGATGAGTAGAGGTTAGATCTTTTAGAATTAAGGTTTTATTTGAGAGTGATTGGGCATTAAACAGGGCTGCATGTGCTGGTACACAGCCGATTGCATCATCAGCTGCTCGGGGACAAGTGGGCGGAGGTTCTGTTGCACGCAGTCCCCCCTCCTGGTCCCTACAGAGCGACAAGGTGGAAACTGAATGTTGACGCCAGGATTAACAGAAAGGAGGCATCGATGACGATAAACCAGGGAACGGCGGAGGTCGAAGATGCCAAACTCCGAAGGTAAGTCCTGCAGTAGAAGCCGATGATGAACCGTACCTGGAAAGCAGAGGAGCTGACTCACGCAGTCTGAACGCGAGAGGAGACGCAACGGACATCTGTGCTTTTACTGTGGAGAGCCAGGACACATCGTCACCAACTCTCCGGTAAAAGGGGGTCGCTCAGTAGATGAGAGGAGATGTCTACTGAGCCAAACCAGTACCAAAGAACTCTCCTCACAGTTTATCGTCTCTGCTCATCTCCCTACACCGGATAAATCCAAGGTCCTCAGTTAATGTGTTTATAGACTCCGGTGCTGACACCGAATTCATAGATTACGATTTTGCTAAGTCTGTTGGTATAAAACTTTGTAAATCTTCTCATGAACTCTCTGTGGTGGCTCTCGGTGGCCATCCTCTGAACTCCTCCTCTTTAATTACAGAACCGGTGGTTTTGTGTCTCGGTGGCAACTACAAAGAGAACATTACCTTTGTGGTTATTAATCCTACTATGTTAGGGTCCGTAGTGACCCATTTTAAATTTTAAATCATGATACTGTCTTTTAAATATTTTTTTTTGCATCAAGGCTTTTTGACTTTGTCTGGAACCTTTATTTAAATAAAAAAAATATATTATTTTTTTCACTAAATTAAATTTTTATTTTTTATAGAACAACACGCACTTGCCGCGCTGGGGTCATTTGTGACCCAGTTATGGTATAAAACTATCAACCAATAATCAGTGTCAAAACTGAAATCATAAACACACTGTGACCTCACTAACTTTGTCATACATATGTTAGGGCCTTCTGTTTTTACCTGTTTGTCTACTTCACTGACCAAAACATCCCCATTTATCCGTACTACTTTTATTGATAAGTCCCTCATACTCTGCTCCCAAAAACTGAAAAAGTTCATCCAGCTGTAGATGCAGAGACATGTTGAGGCATGCCCATGTAGAAATAAGCCTACCTGGATAGCCATGCCCATCTTGATAGGCAGACCTAGATAGACACACCCACCTGGGTGTGTCTCTACATGGGCATGTAGAGACATGTAGAAACAGACACTCCATTTTACCTAGAGCTTGGCTGCATACCAAAATGAAGAGAAGATTCACAGTACAAGAAGCTCTAGATCACATCCTTGCTGAAAATGATGCAGAGGACACACCTAGTGACACAGATGAGCCAGTTTCTTAGGAGGACGATGCTATTGAATATGAATCAGAGTACACAGACTCGTCGGATGAGGAGGGCACAGGTGCTGAAGCTGCTCCTGTAACTGAAACCTATAAATCCAAAAAGGGTAACATCACTTGGAGTGCGATTCCTCCTGTTTCACATGGCAGGGAAGCTGCTGAAAATGTTATGAAGATGACCCCTGGGATTACAAGGTTTGTTGTGACACGAGTAAGTGACATCAAGACATGCTTTGATTTGTTTATGCCATTGTCACTAAAGAAAGTCATCATTGCTATGACAAACCTCGAAGGGAAAAAAGTTCACGGTGACACTTGGAAGGACATTGATGAGGAGTGCCTGGATGCTTTTATTGGTGTTCTTCTTCTCGCTGGTGTGTACAGATCCAGCAATGAGGCCCTTACTAGTCTCTGGGATGTGTCCATAGGCAGGAGTATTTTCCGCGCAACAATGTCACTTCAGACCTTTCAAATGATCTCAAGAGTCCTCAGATTTGACAACAGAGATACTAGAGCACGGTCTGACAAGCTTGCTCCCATCAAAGACGTCTGGGATAGATGGGTGAAGCTCCTTCCACTGATGTTCAACCCAGGACCAGAGGTGACAGTGGATGAGCGTCTTCTCCCTTTCCGTGGAAAATGCCCCTTCCGGCAATACATGCCCAGTAAGCCAGGCAAATATGGCATAAAAATCTGGGCAGCCTGTGATGCGAAAACCAGCTATGCCTGGAATCTGCAGATTTACACAGGCAAACTTGCAGCTGGCATCCCTGAGAAGAATCAAGGAAAACAGGTAATCCTTGATATGACTACTGGACTGCGGGGTCACAATATCACGTGTGACAATTTTTTCACCAGCTATGATCTTGGACAAGAACTTCTCAAGAGGAAACTTACCATGGTGGGCACAATAAGAAAAAACAAACCTGAGTTGCCCCTTGAAATTTTGCAGGTGAAAGACAGGGCTCCACTGTCTTCAAAATTTGCTTTTACAGAAACCACCAGTGTTGTTTCATACTGTCCCAAAAAGAACCGGAGTGTGGTACTTATGTCCACTCTTCACAAAGATGCAGCTGTGTCAACAAGAAGTGACAAAAAGCCTGAAATCATCCTGGACTACAATAAAAACAAAGGAGGAGTGGACACCCTGGACAAGCTGACTGCCACCTACACTTGCCAGCGAATGACCAGGAGATGGCCAATGGTTGTATTTTACAACATCCTAGATGTGTCTGCATACAATGCATTTGTCTTGTGGACCCAGATTGACTTGGGGTGGAACGCCAAAAAAAACCACAAGCGGAGATTGTTCCTTCAGGAGCTAGGAAATTTGTTGATCAAGCCATACATTGAGAGAAGGGAACGGATACCCCGAGACCCAGCCACTGCGAACGTTGTCAGACAGCTCCGGAGCACCACTCCAACCACATCATCAGCTGCACAAAGTGCATCAGTGATAACACGCCCTTCAGGCAGCCAGGCTTCAACATCGACTACACCCACAACTCCACCTGCTTCAAAACGAAAGAGGTGTCAGGTGTGCCCAAGCAATAAAGACTGGAAAACAAACACATTGTGCCTTGACTGCAGAAAATACATATGCAAAGAACATACGAAAACTGCCACTTTTTGCAACACATGCATCTGAACACAACGCAAGTTCATACGCAAGTTCATACGCATGCATGAAAGACAGAAAGAAACTAGAAAGAGCATGTTTGTAACTAGAAGAGTATTTATTTCATTTTGATTTTTTCTTGTCTTTCTGAATCTGTATTTTGTATTATTACTTGTTCTGCTTTTTATTTTATATTGGTATTAAAGTTCAATGTTTGAAAAGAAATGTTTCTTCCTTTTTTTGACGTAAATATACATGGGTCAAAACTTACCCTTAACACTATAAATGTTACTATGGTTAATAATATTAAAATAACAAAATAATAAGACACATTTATTTTAGAGATGTGTTCTAATACTTCTTAAAAAAACACTGTTTTGAGGGCATTTTTTGGCTGATTTAAGACGGGTCACAACTGACCCGTTCACATCATAAGTGCGTGCGGGATCTCGCCCCGCTAGTCTCCCCAAGCTCCAATTGTGTTGGGAGCCACGTGGTTAGCCAAACACAACCCTCATCTGGACTGGAGGAGGAGGGAGATTTTAGGGTGGTCAGAGGAGTGCTTGACCACTTGTTTGTTTGACGCTGTAGTCCCTGTCGAAACCATTACTCTTAATGAGAAGTATTATCCAGACATTTCCAAAGTTCCTGAAGAGTATTATGACCTTAAGGAGGTGTTCAATAAGACAAGAGCTACTTCTTTGCCTCCACACCGCCCATATGATTGTGTTATTGATCTACTCCCAGGCTCCACTCCTCCTAGAGGTGCGTTATACTCCCTTACTGGCCCTGAACAACTCTTTATGAAGGAGTATATCCAAGACTCATTACAATCCGGTATCATCCGACCATCTGCCTCACCTGCTGGTGCAGGTTTCTTCTTTGTTAAAAAGAAAGATGGCTCACTTCGTACATGCATAGACTTTAGAGGAATCCACAAGATCACGATAAAAGAACAAGTACCCACTACCCCTCATGACTTCCGCCTTTGACTCTCTTCAAGGATCCAACATTTTCACCAAACTTGACCTCCGCAATGCTTATCATCTGGTCCGAATCCGTGAAGGTGATGAGTGGAAGACAGCCTTTAACACCCCTACAGATCACTATGAATACTTGGTTATGCCTTTTGGGTTAACCAATGCACCGGCTGTCTTCCAAACCTTAGTAAATAACGTTTTGAGAGACATGGTATATAAGTTTGTATTTGTCTATCTCGATGATATACTCATTTTTTCTAAAAACGTAGATTCTCACCGTAAACACGTCAGATCAGTACTCACCAGACTCCTCAAGAGCGGCCTCTTTGTAAAGGCTGAGAAATGTGAATTTCATGTGTCTACCACTTCTTTTCTGGGATTTATTGTGTCTCCAAACAAAATGGAGATGGACTCCAGCAAGGTCTCTGCTGTGGTGGATTGGCCTACCCCTAAGGACCACAAACAGCTTCAGCGGTTCTTGGGGTTTGCCAATTTTTACAGACGCTTCATTAAAGGATACAGCCAGAAGGCCAAGCCTCTTCACGAGCTCACCTCTACCAAGTCTCGCTTTCACTGGTCCGCTGTAGCAGAGACCGCCTTTGTTGAACTAAAGAATTTGTTTATTTCTGCTCCCATTCTCCTGGCACCCAACCCCGACAAACCTTTATGGTTGAGGTTGATGCCTCCAGTACTGGGGTAGGGGCCATACTGAGTAGGTGCGGCCAGGAGGGGCGTCTTCACCCTTGTACCTTTTTATCCCGGAGCCTCTCCTCGGCTGAGCGCAACTATGATGTTGGAGATTGGGAGCTCCTCGCTGTTAAACTCGCTCTGGAGGAGTGGCGTCACTGGTTGGAGGGCTCCAGGTTCCCGTTCCAGGTGTGGACGGACCACAAGAACCTGGAGCACCTCAGGTCCGTTCTTCGCCTCAATCCTCGCCAGGCCAGGTGGGTACTATTCTTTTCCTGCTTTAATTTCACCCTGTTGTACCGACCCAGTGAGAAAAAAACTAAACCTGATGCCCTATCACGTGTTTTGGAGGAAGATAATTCCCCCTCAGCTCAGGAGAAGAACTTTATCCTTCCTGAAAGTGCTCGCCTGGCCATTACTCAGTTAGAAATGGACCTGAGAAACTCCAGCCGGTCATGCCCCCCTCTGGTCAACTGTCCTCAGAACCGTCTGTACGTGCCCTCTGACATGATCAAAAAGGTGCTGGATTTCTGTCACAACTCCTTGTTATATTGTCACCCAGGTCTAACAAAAACATTGTCTCTCGTCAGGGCTCAGTTTTGGTGGGAGACCATGACTAGGGATGTCCGTACCTATGTGCAATCATGTCCGGCGTGTTCCCAATCCAAGACCTCCAGAAGCCCCCTTTCAGGATTACTTCACCCTCTCCCTTGTCCTTTGCGTCCCTGGTCGCACATAGGTATGGACTTCATAACTGGACTCCCACCATCCAATGATTTCACTGTCATTTTAACCATTGTTGACAGATTCTCAAAAATGGTTCATTTAGTTCCTCTACTGAAGCTACCCTCTTCCAAGGACTTGGCCCACATTATGGCTTGGGCGGTGCTTAGGCTCCATGGACTGCCACTAGTCATTGTCTCTGATCGGGGGCCTTAGTTTGTCTCCCACTTCTGGAAAGAATTCTGTGACCTTCTGGGTATTACAATTAGTCTCTCCTCTGGCTTCCACCCTGAGTCAGATGGGCAGACAGAGAGGGCTAATCAGGAGGTGGAGGGCAAACTGAGGCTCTTCTGTCAAAAGGATCCTTAGAAATGGAGCTCATCACTGCCCTGGATCAAGCATGCCCTTAATTCTGTTCCCTCCTCTGCCACCGGTTTGTCTCCTTTTTATGTTGTTTTTGGTTTTCAACCACCCATTGTCTCTGTCCAAGAACGTGAAGCATCTGTTCCCTCTGCCCACATGGCTGCCTTCCGCTGCCAGAGAGTCTGGAGGAGGGCTAACCAGGCTCTTTTAAAATCCAGGGCAGCCTACACTACAAAGGCTAACCGCCACAGAACCCCCCAACCCGACTATACTGTGGGACAGAGAGTGTGGTTGTCCACTAAGGACCTCCCACTCAAAGTCTCGTCCCGCAAACTCGTCCCCCACTTCATCGGACTCTTCCCCATATCCAAAATTATCAATCCTGTTTCTATTCGTCTGCCACTATCCAAGTCTTTTCGTGTTCACCCCACGTTCCATGTCTCTTGTGTTAAACCGGTTATTTCCTCCCAGTATCACTCCCCTGTTTGCTCCCCCCCAACCCACCCGTCTGATTGACGGCTCCCCTGCCTACACTGTTCGCCGACTCCTCCGTTCTAGACGAAGGGGTCGGAGGCTCCAGTATCTCATCGATTGGGAGGGATACGGACCAGCTTTAGGCTTGTGTGACCACATCTCTGCGCTCAACGGACTCACCACCCATCTGTCGCTGCGGCCAGCAGCAGTCCCTCACCAGACAGCCTCTCCAGCAGCGGTCCGGATCAGTCTGGACTTCTTCGCTCTCCAGAACCCCCAGGATCAGAGAGGTTAGTGGTCCTTCTTATTTGACTTTTCTGCTCTCCATAATCTCTTGCATGACCACTAACCGATCTCCATCTCATAGACTTATCCCTGATCCAGAACCAGTACCAGAACCCAAACCAGAATCAGCACCTGAACTGGTCCAATCTGCAATACCTCTCCTAGAAAATAAATACTATTTAATTTTCTTCATTTGTGTGGTGATTTTGGTCCAAACTAGAAGGGGTTCGTTACAGATGAGTCCAGCTACAGGCAAGAGGTGGAACACCTGGAGAGCTGGTGCAAATAAAATAACCTTCACATCAATGTGAAGAAGACAAAAAAGACTATCGGGACTTCAGAAGGAACAAACACACCTACACCTCCCTGAACATAAGAGGATCTGCAGTGGAATTGGTCTCCAGCTACAAGTACTTGGGTGTACACATGATTTTTTTTATTTTTCATTTACACTTTATTTATACAGGTAGTCTCCTTGAGTCATGAGAACTCATTTTCAAGAGAGACCTGTTTAGGGAGCAGATGGGGGTTAAGGGCCTTGCTCATGGGCCCAGAGGAGGGCGAACAAGGGTGGGAGCAGGTGTGGGTGCTTTACCTACCCTACCCACATTTTTGTTGTTGTCGGTACCGGGGCTTGAACCGGCAATCTTCCGATCACAGGCCCACCTTCTCTAGCCTCTGCGCCACCACTCCCCCATCCCCTTGATAACCTCAGCTGGGGCAACACCACCACCAGCCTGATCAAGAAAGCTCATCAGAGACTCTACTCCCTCAGACTGCTGAGACGAGCTGGTCTGGGAAGTTCAGTCCTCACCTCCTTCTACAGGTGTGCAGTGGAGAGCATCCTGTGATCCAGCATCAACGTGTGGCATGGAAGCTGCACAGCTGCAAAAAGAAAAGATTTGCAGAGAGTTGTGAAGGACACACAGAAGTCTGTTGGAATCAGTCTCCCCACCATCACAGACATTTACACCTCCAGATGCAGGAAGAGAGCCACCTGCATCATGAAAGACCCCACTCACCCAGCACACACACTTTTTGCCCCGCACCGCTCAGAAAGGAGGTTGAGGAGCATTAAGTGTAGAACCTCTAGACTGAAGAACAGCTTCTACCCTGAGGCTGTTAGACTCATGAATATCTATCTAGAATAATCACTGTGAAAAATCACATTATGTTGCTGCTGATCTGTGTCATGTTGCTGTTGATCTGTTTCATGTTGCTGCTGATTTGTTTCATGTTCATGCGTGCTCATCTGCTTACACAGACTCATGCTCATGTTAGTGCTGCTGTTCAATGTAATGTTTTTATGTTATTAGTGCTTAGTGTATTTTTAGCTGATGTTTTTCTTAGTTCATATCTTAGATTTTATTATTGTTTTTCTTTTACATTTTATTGTTGGATGTATGACCGGCTGGGTTTGAGAG